AATTCTGCAAAGCTTGGAGGAATAAAGTTCTGACACACCAAGGCGCTGTAAAATGAGAATAAAGAGTGCAAGCTATAAAGCCTGCATATGCCACCTCCATATTGCAACATAAACATCTCCAGCTGTCAGGGTTGTTATGGAACCATGACCTTGCTCAGCTGGAGAGCTAGCTAATGACTACTATATAGTGAAATATTGTTCAAGCCTCAATTTTAAAAGCATATTCATGTATACTCACAAACTTCCACATCTTGACATATTTACCGATCCATGCATTGTGCTAGCTGTTCCCTTCCCCATCATCCTGTTCCTCGTATAAAATGTACAATCTGAAAAGGATGCCTTACTATGGAGGCTCTATAGGTGAGCCGAAACCCTGGTTTTGCTGCATTCTGGCTATTTTGTAGAACCTTCATTGGTACAGCCTTCTGTCCAAACAGTTGCTTTTGTGTGGGAATGCAGGAATGGAGGGAGGCATGGCTAACGCCTTCCCCACTTTTCAAATACTGCACCTGAAATACCATCTTGTTTGGTTTATTTGAATATGTGATTCAAATAAACCAAACAAGATGGTAACAAGAAGCAGGGTACCCACTTCTCATGATTACAGAATTTACTATATGACAGGAAAGAAGAAGATTTGCACAATGTCTAAAATGGTTAGACTCAGGCCACATCTGGGAACTGCTAGGTTGTTCACTCATTATGGTGCCTTTTATGATGTGAACCATTTAAGGAAATAAAGGGGAATGGACATAGATTGTGGTTCCAATGGGCAGCAATAAAGCTCCATCCAGTCACCCTTTGAGTTTTCCCAATTGCCTAGATCAGTGGTTCCCAAGGACTGTCCTTGGACTGCAATTCCCAGAAACTCTGGCCTGCACAGCTGGTGGTGAAGGCTTCTGGGAGTTGCAGTCCAGGAATGATTTTTTGCTCTTTCAGAACATTGCTGGGGAGTTTCAGGGCACCAAGATGTGTAACAGCGAGAATGGTGGGAAGGAAGCAAGCACAACCAATATCTTTCTGTGTAGAAATGTATAGCAATCCCCTTCCCAACTTGACCCTGCTCCACCTTTGTGGCAGCAGACATGAAATTCATGCACAACAAAACATTTTGGTAAATTCATGTCACCAAAACCAGTAATTTATATCCATGTATGCACCAAGGAAGTGGCAAGTAGGCAGGAACACAGTGTAAAAGAAAGCATAGAGGGCAGAGAAGAGGGTGACTATATTGGGAGAAGAGAAAGATGGGTAACTTTTGGGGTGGGGTAGAGGATAAATGTTGTTTGTAAAAAAGGACATGTGAATCATGCAGTACAGAGAGTGTGCATCGATGCTAACATGGTCACCGTTTCTGGTTCTGCCCTTAATTATTGAAACTTCAGAAAAGAACTGAACAGAATATATAGTTGTAGAAAGTGTAGCTGTGTTAATCTGTGCAAGCATTAAAGGTAGAAGCAAAGTACTGTAGAAATAAAAAGTAAAAAAAAAAAGACAAAAATGTGGTGGCACCGTAAAGACTAACTTTTATATTTTTTAATGTGAGCTTTCATAGACAAGTCCACTTCATCAGACATAAGAGAAAGAGATTTAACATGGCAAATATAATTTATACATGACATCAAAATAGATATTCAATGAAGAGATTGTGGCTGGTTGGTAAGAAAGTGCGTGTTTGACATTGTGGTGATAGCATCCTTGATATGAGGGTCTTTCATTGAAACGTGCTAAAGAATGTGAGAACCACTGTCATAAAATAACAGTAGTGGTGTAACATGAATGTTAATTAGTTTGGCTATTTACAGTCACTGATGAACTCCCCCAACAAGCTTTCCTTTGTAAGCCAGTTGCAAAAGTGTAAATTACCCGGGGCAATGAATGACCACAAGCGCAGAGTACAGAATATGGTTTACTTCTGGAGTAAAACAGATTCTCTTTTCTGCCCGTTTTACTCCAAAGGAAAGAGAAAGGCACTAGTTTTGTGCAGAGATGTTTTGTGCACATTTCAGGAAACGTGAGGGGGCAAGAGCCCTAATCTTGTTCTCAGGCTGGTATAAAAAAATTCACAGGATCTGAAAATTCCTTGTTAAGGCATCTCAACCTGTCAAGACAAGTTAAATAAGACAGAATGAGAAGTACAGTGAGTATTCTCCACACCCCTAAATTCTCTCACATTTGCTTTTATGAGCCTCATTTAACTTCAAATGTCTTGGCTCTCATGGTTCAGTAGTTTGTCTGCCAGCTGCCAGTTTCTCCATCCCCCAGTTAAAGCCCAGGGGAAGTCATAGTGGGGTAAAATCTATTATTTGGGTTTTTTTTAAACAGGGAGGCTGCAATGTGATGAATAAATACATAATACAAATGCACAGTGACACACAAAAGCACCCATGTCCTCCCCTACAATTAAATGAACATTTTACAGGATTTTCTCCACCACATTTTATGATGGCTGCCTTCCCATTCCCCTCATAGATATAGGCTGAAATCCAGAAGCAAGTCACAACTAGAGTAGGACGATTGAATCAATGGAATTTACATAGCTGTTGATGCTGATATAATGGGCCTACTCTAGTTGCAACTTACTAGTGGATTTCACTCAGTATGCTCATGCACTGAGGAGGTTGCAAAATGCTGGCTAGGCTCTAGTAAAAGCCCCAAACTGAAAATTATTACGAATGAACAAAGAAGTTATGTTACAGCTATCTAATAGAATAATAGTATTAGAAATTGATAGAGGATTTCTATTCCCCTATAGAAACTCAGTAAAATTCCTCCTTCCTAATTTTTCTGTCTACAAATAGGCTGGAATATTTAGGCGATGCTAGGCTTCAGTCCTTTCCTCCCCCTCCCCCACTGACACCAGTTATTGTGATGGCAATGTGTATTACCTTCTTTCAAAGCGTGGCAAGCTTGCTCAATGGTAAGACTGACCTGCTTAGTCCGATGGGTAGACCCCTGGCCATCTGCCCTAAAGTCTGGCCCTGATGACATCTCTGGCACTTTTCTTTGTAAATAGAGAGAGATCAAATGTGAAAATACGCCACACCCTTGACGTGCACTTCCTGGCATGAGCCTCACTTCCAAGAATTTATTCTTTGAGGGTTGAACTTAGGGCTAGCTTAGCTGTGAATAACTCTATGTGACTGTGACTGTTGGAGCTTTAGCCTCTATTAGCGCAAGGCAGAGACATGTCTGCTTGGTAACCATGGAGCCAATTCATTTCACTCTACCTTAAGGTGACCTTTATTTAAAAATCTGCATTATATTGACAGTTAAAAACACTGTCTCTTTAGACATTGCCATGTCTCTATATTTTCCAGAATTTCATCGTTTAGCATATACTATCAAAATGGTCAGTTTTGCTGTCAAATCAAGAATGTCGGCATTTTAACAGGCAAATATGCCAGGTAGGCTCCAGTGTTAGGTATAAACTGGCACATAAAGTGAAAATGTAGAGCCACTGTATTATAGTGGCTAGACTAGAGTAACAGATGAGAACTCAGGAAAATTGAGTTGAATTCCCTGCTTGGCCATGGAAGCTTGCAGGGAGGGCGTGGCAATATAAAGCCACTCCTTAAATATCTCACATACATTAAAAAGCCTGTTAAGGTCCCTGCAAGTCAGATGTGACTTGATGGTATATGTCAACAACAAAGTAAGAACATAGACATCTATATCTCATGAACAACTAAAACTCAAAGTTAGGGAACTGAGCTCAAAGACTGATTCCCACATGCATGTTAATCATCCAGTGACTGCAAAACCTGTTGATGATTTCTAGTTGTACAATGGCTGTAATGCATAAAATATTCCAGATAAAACCTTTGTTGTATTTCTGCTCATCATTTCCTAGAGAAGCTGTTCTCACATCTTCAACTAAATAGTAATGAAAAGCAAATTCAGTCATCCAATCATCCAGAGTCAAAAATGCATGTGTGAATCAGCAATGCTCTATGGACTAGGAAGCCCCCCCCACTCCCAGATTACATATATTAGTTAATTAGGTTGATATCAATAACTGGGAAGTTAATCATCCATTTCATTCTTTGTCTTCAGGCTCTGTCCCCTTTAAGCTTAGCTTCCTCTATCCGCAGGTAAGAGGCACCAGAGCACGGAAAGCTTGTTATGTATTCGTTGCATGCTTAACTGCAGAACCAATTGTAAGCTGCTGCTCACCCCCAATACCCCCCCATGTTAAATAGGGGTTTGCCAAAGACTGTGAAAATGGATGCTCCGTATTTCGATTGAAAAGGGTAAATCAAACACGGGCTTTTCTTCAATGCATGCACCTGTGCCTTCAGAAATTATTCTAAACATTCAGTGGTGTGTGGAATGCCTCTTGCTTGCCGTAAGATTGATTTCAGCCTGGTGCACCCCTCCCTTGCATGCGTTCACCTGATGTACTTCACGCCCAGCAAGGACTCCAATAAATCTTTATTAGCCAGATCTATTTGCATGAGATTTGCAAATAATATTTCTTCTTCCATGCCCTGCAAAAGCAAGGATGCATGAAACACTGAAATATTGCATTCCGATAGGAGGAAGAGGAGGTATTTGGTGGATGCTAAGCACTGATGACATTTATTGTGTGACCAAAATTTCCATAATCATTAAGATGTTGAAATCTATGCCACAGCCAAAATAAAAATTAACTCGCTGAAAAACTCCCTCTTCCCCTCCTTTGGTTGATGATTCATCTTGATTTTCTGTCATATTAGGTAGAGGGGAATATATCTGCCTGTCTAAAATCAAGATTGGGTTTGTTTTGTCCCATTTTTGTGCACATAAGGTTGGTTGTAAACTGCACTTGCCGTTTTGCATTCAGAAATATTGCCTTAAAAACCCTCAGTTCCCAAGGGGGATGGATTCTCTTAGCAATTCAGAGGAGGAGGGAGAAGGGAGGGTGGAGGGAAATAAGGGAGCGTATGATAACCTTGTATGATTTTGCTTTGGGAAGCCAAGGGTTAAGTATAGCAGTTGAAGGCTGCAAGCTTGGTCAGGGTTGTACTATTTTTCTAAAGCATAAGGAAAAGGGAGGCAAGGAGTCAAGCAATAGAGAGGAAAGCCAGTGAAAACAGCACCTGGGGCAAAGCCTGGAGAGATGGTAATGGTGCTGGGCTTCAAGAAGGATAACAGGTCTGGTGCATGCAAAAATCTCTGTCTTAAGGACTGAGCGTAAAAGATGGTATTTCATTCCTCTCCCCTCCCACAGTTCTTCAATCCTGACTGTGAGTGGGGAAGGAAGGCGGCTCTCTGCTGCTGAGGATAGGATGCCAGGGAGCCTCTCTTGGGGAGGAAAAAAAGAACCCTTCGGTTGGGCTTAGCAACGACAAGAAGAGAGAGCAGTCACCCCAGAGAAGAGCGCTCCATTCCCTCCCGTGGCTCTCAGAATGAGCTGAGCATCCACTCAGACCAAGCCAGAAGCTGGACAGTGGAGCAATGCAGCATTGTCCTCCTCAGGATCTGGGCATCTCAGGGGAGATTGCTGGCTGAGCCCTAAAGCTCTTGGACACATGGGGGACTCTTCAGGGGCTTAGGGACCGACCCTTTTCATGATTATGTTGTGCATGCCGAATGAAGTACAGGGCTTCTTTGATGTGGACCTGGCCGCAGCTGGGTGAGCTGTGTGTGGCAGAAAGAGCATGATGCGCCGTTGCTTTTGCTGAGAAGAGAAGACCAGGAGAGAGAAGCCACACTGCAGAGGACCTTGCAGCAGTCAGGCTGCGTGAACGACACAAATGGCGAACGGTGTGTAGATTGCCACTTCTCTACCTTTGACAATCTCTCTCTCTCTCTCCCCCCCTCCTCTCTCTCTCTCTCTCTCTCTCTCTCTGTGAAAGATATTTTGTTTTTCATGCTGTCGCAACTGCTCTCTCATTTCAACCAGGATAGCTAGAGCTTGAAATACATTCCAGTAAGGGAAGGGCTGCATTTGAAAACTGGGTCTTTGCAGATAATGTCTTAAAACCCTTCTAGTTCTGTTTTACTCCCTGGTTTTTCTGGGCAACGTCACACCTCTTGAGGACACTGGGGACATCAGGTTTTTGCTGAGTATGGCATCTTCCCATCATCATACAGAAGGTTTTCAGTTCAGACAAAGGTTGCCCTGAATAATAGGCTGCCCAGGATTCTCTCCTCTGTACAATCCCCACCTCATTACCAGATCAAACATCCACATTTCTGTCTTTCTTTCTTTCTGTCTGTCTTTCTTTCTGACTCACCATATTGTCCAAGAAACTTATCTTGGGGACCTGTTTCTCTTTCCTCTCTAAGGATAAATAATCGGTGCCAGAGACATTGAGTTATCCTCTGTCAGGTAATGCGAGTTGTTTTTCACTTGCGGTTATTCCTTAGGCAATTAGAAGAGAGAGCTTCAGCACAGAAATGCAGCAAGGGGAAGACAGCAATGCTAACACTTGCAGACTAAAAACAGATCAGAGAAGGAACGGGCAAGAAGACAGCAATGAGCGGGGGGGGGGAGGCTCAGTGGGAGAAGAGGCAACCTGGTCAGCGCAACTCAAAGATAAAAAAATCTAGAATGCAGCACATGGTATGTGCACTACAGTGTTCGATGCAACATAGTATGTTTGATGTTTAACTAGCTCTGAGCCACCAGGGTATTCCTAGAGGCGAATGGTGAAGTTTCAGGTGCTGCATGGATAGATGCTTTAGTGCAGGAACAAAGTTGGAATAGTCCATGAAGTTCTTTGAATAAACTGTGTTGATTATGAAAAACATCTTGCAATTTACTGCCTGCTTGTGAAAAGACTTTTGTTATCTCTTATTGCACCTTTGACATTCTTTGGATGGTAGGGAATATCAAGAGGAACCCCCATTTTAGGCCATTCTAAGGATGAAACTGGAGTCAATGAAGGTAATGCATGTGAATTTTTTTTAGCAGGTGAGAGAAATGCTCACATTATTGTTGTTATTATCTTTCTCTTTCAGCTGGACAGCCTTTTTAAAATTTCTTCTTCACATTTTTATGAGTCCCTTCCAAGCTCATGGGCACACCTTTCCAGTGGACAGTAGACTCCCTGTGACATTTACCTCGCCACCAGACATTAAAGAGAAGTTTATATTAAAATCCTAAATATGACCGTTGCTACTGGAGACCCCACAGATGAAGCAGCAGCTTTGCCCGGTCACCCTCAGGACACCTATAACCCAGAAACTGACCATGAATGTTGTGAGAGGGTGGTCATTAACATCTCAGGACTACGGTTTGAAACACAGCTTAAGACACTTGCTCAGTTTCCAGATACCTTGTTGGGAGACCCTAAAAAAAGAATGAGATATTTTGATCCTCTCCGGAATGAGTATTTCTTTGACCGAAACAGACCCAGCTTTGATGCTATTTTGTATTACTACCAGTCTGGTGGTCGGTTAAGACGGCCTGTCAATGTGCCCTTGGACATATTCTCAGAAGAGATAAGGTTCTATGAACTTGGAGAAGAAGCTATGGAGATGTTCCGGGAGGATGAAGGTTATATCAAGGAAGAGGAACGGCCTTTACCAGAGAATGAATTTCAGAGACAAGTGTGGCTGCTCTTTGAGTACCCGGAAAGCTCTGGACCTGCCAGGATTATAGCAATTGTCTCTGTCATGGTCATTTTGATCTCAATTGTAAGCTTCTGCTTGGAAACTTTGCCTGTGTTCCGGGATGAGAATGAAGACATGCATGGGAGCAGTAGTAATCCAAGCCCTTATTCTAATAACACATTGGGGTCTCAGCAACAAACATCTTTTACAGACCCCTTCTTTATAGTTGAGACACTCTGCATCATTTGGTTCTCCTTTGAATTCTTGGTGAGATTCTTTGCCTGTCCCAGCAAAGCTGGATTTTTTACTAACATCATGAATATTATTGACATTGTAGCCATCATTCCCTACTTCATCACCCTTGGAACAGAACTGGCTGAGAAACCAGAAGATGGTCAGCAAGGCCAACAGGCAATGTCCCTTGCCATCCTGCGAGTGATACGTCTGGTGAGGGTCTTCAGGATCTTCAAACTCTCCAGACACTCCAAGGGGTTGCAAATCTTGGGACAAACCCTTAAGGCCAGCATGAGGGAGCTAGGCCTTTTGATATTTTTCCTTTTCATTGGTGTCATCCTGTTCTCCAGTGCTGTCTACTTTGCAGAGGCTGATGAGAGTGAATCTCAGTTCCCCAGCATCCCTGATGCTTTTTGGTGGGCTGTGGTTTCCATGACAACAGTTGGCTATGGAGACATGGTCCCCACCACCATAGGTGGGAAAATAGTTGGCTCCTTGTGTGCCATTGCAGGTGTATTAACAATTGCCTTACCAGTGCCGGTTATAGTGTCCAATTTCAACTACTTCTATCACCGTGAGACAGAGGGAGAGGAGCAAGCTCAATACTTGCAAGTCACCAGCTGCCCAAAGATCCCTTCTTCCCCTGACCTAAAGAAAAGCAGAAGTGCCTCCACTATTAGTAAGTCTGATTATATGGAGATACAAGAAGGTGTGAATAATAGCAATGAGGACTTTAGAGAGGAGAACTTGAAAACAGCCAATTGCACCCTAGCTAACACAAACTATGTTAATATAACCAAAATGCTAACTGATGTGTAGCTATCAGGGTGGGGGAGGGGGGAAAGAACCCTAATAACATATATAAAACCAGTGGAACAATTGCAGATGTTGCATAATACCTTGCATTGTAGTTAATACAATATGTTCTACAACATGTATTGGTTCTGCATGGGAGGCAATAGTTGTGTAAGTGACTCTTTTTCACATTTGATGCTCAAAAGCTTTCATACAATATCTTTTTCCATCATGGATTTCTGAGTATATGGAGCATTCAAGGCAAAACTATGTCACAATATCAAATGAAAGACACTGGAGAAAAACAAAAGCAACCATCTCCCCATGTAAACAACAGTAACTAACAAATGCCAAAAAGATATGTCATTTTAATATAGAACTCAACCCATGCAAAAATATATCCCAAGGAAATAGTATGCAGCCATACATCTAGCTTTCAAGCTCCTGGAATTATACAAAAGGTCATGCATAGTTTAATTAATGGAACATCCGTCCAAATTACTTTAAGGTTCAGATTTCCAGATCAGGAATGCCAAAGGGAGAATATACCATGCAGGGTCATGCTTCTGAACCAAAAATGCTGCATTGGATTCATCCACTGCAGCATGTCAGTGTGAGGCTTGCGGGAGGCACTGTTTAGTAGGACATTTTCTGTTGCTTTGGTAGAGATACATCAAGAGCCTGGAGACTTTTTTTAAAAAATAATAATAACACATGTGTTTTTGCTGGTTTGGGGGTCACCAACATATACAGAACTGAAAAGCATTTTGTGTCAAATGCTAGAGCAAGTAAGCTATGGCCTAGAATATATCTTATACTGCAGTGCAATTTAACCAGTATTACAATACTGCTGCATGGATATTTGTTGCATGGATCTTAATATTTAATACAAAAATATATCTATTTTCTTAAGTAGACTATAGAGTGTACTTGTTTATAATGTTCCTAGATTCTCCAATGGCTTGAAGGAGATTCATAGACATATAAGAGGGATAAAAAACAATGGGCTGAGAAGAGATATATGCTGACCACAAATTTGATAAGTGAGGCAAAATGTCCCAAGTGTTTGCTTGCATGAATGTGCAAGCCAAGGAAGGTAATATGAAGAGTACACACCTGTCTTCTGAATGTAGGGAGCAAGTGGCGATTAATGGATTAGTGGCATTAGATGCAGAGATGTACAGCTGACCAAAGACAATGAACTGTTCAGTCATATTTGTAGTTAAAGGACCCCTGGATTACAGTGTTATGCAAATGTTAAGCAACCATTTGATATATGAATGCAGAACCCACAGAAGTGTGGACTGTTAGACATTCATGGCTAACATACAAAGGTATAGAATATCAATGACTTCATCTGAAGTATATTGTCCTGCAACAGATCTGGCTTAAAATGTTCAATGCATCTTCCAGAAGTACATGGATTTATGCAATAATGCTAGCCCAAGGCCATTTATTCAAGTATGGGTATGTTTATCCCTTGAAAATGGGTCTTTGGCTGCACCAGTTGAGTGGTTATGTGAAGACTTGCATTGCATGGCTTAGTTAAGGGTCCAATTGGGATGTTGTCCTGCTGTGGCATCAATGTTCTTCAGCTCAGAGGGAAAAAGAACCCACATCTCCTCTTAGATTAGATATGGACAACTTGCACTTCTCTGTATATTATGGGGCTGCAACTCCCATTATCTCTCACTATCAGCTGTGCTGACTAGGGATTAAAGATGCTGCAGTCTGGCAACATCTGAAGGCCCACCTAGCAACTACTGCCGTAGACAATAACTCTCTTGGAAGCAGTGCCAAATTGTTATATGATCGCAGAATGTGCTTTGGGTAAAGGAGGCAAAAACATTTCTTCATGGATTTCATAAACTGGCATCCTAGACCTATGCCCTGTTGCTGTTTCCCCTTCAGCTCTCATAAAGTAGGACAACAGTACTTTATTCAAAGCTCATTCTGCTACCAACATCCCAAGAAAGTTGCATTTGGAAGCAACAGGAGGATGAATGTGAGTAAGTCCTCTTCTTCTCATCAATTTTCCATTCTATAGTAGCCCAGTCATTATGTAGCATGTATTATTTACACGTGATGCTAGCCCTGCCCCATTGTGTCACACTTTCAGCCCAGGACAGGGGAAGGCTTCTGTATTCATGCAGATTCTCCTTGTGAGCCAGAATCCTGTTTTTCCCCCCATTGTTCTGGTTCATGTTGGGAGCCTAGATGAATAGTGTGGCCTCCTCTTCTTCAAACAGTTTTATATACTGAAAGTGGTGGTGGAATGTGCCCAATGCACTCCCCTCCTTGCATGGGGAGAGCATGCTCTAAGAACAAGAAGATCAGGTTAACATCACGTGTGGAATAATAGATTTGGTTCAGAGGCAGTTATGCGGATTCCTCACAGCTCCAAAACCTGAGCTGTCAGACATTATTTCAACTGCTTGGCAGGATCCAGAATATGTTGTCTGTGACTAGGAAGTCTCCATTCATGAAAGAAACTCTGCCCAATTTGGAGATGATCCTTCCTTTTCCTCTGAACCCTGCTCATCCCAATCCCCATGGTCCCCCAAACCCCATGTGGCATTTTCAGGGGGTTGGAGGGCCTGCCATGGGAAAGAAGAGGCAAGGAAATCCTAAATCTGAATCCAGCTGGCTATGTTTATTTTAAATTGCATATACGATACATAGAGTACAGAATAATAAGCAGTCCTTGAAACTGACCCTACTCAAAACATTGCAAAGGGAACACAACTCAAGACCCCAACAAGATATGCCAACTGAATCTTGCAGCTGGTATCCTTCTACTGAGTGTGGATCAACAGTGATGAATGCATGCTGAAGGCCAGTTCACAAACCAAATGTATGTGCTGAGAATGAGACCAAGTGGATGAGTGCAAAGTTGGCCACAAGGTAAAGTGGATGCATAGGCACTTCACAATGAAGCTAACTTGCACTATAAAATCTAACTACTGACTGCACCACAATTAATCCACTTCCAACAACTTTGCATAGAGCAATATAAGTTGAACTGCAAGCTGGGTGTAAAGTGAAGTAATCACTAAGCTGCTTCTACCACATGCTAAACTCAGCACAAATCCACTCAAAGTAGCATTTTTAGCAAGCTGTCCCCTGTGTTGGTGCCAAAGGGGAAACATATATCACAAAAATTGCAGTCTATTTACAAGTTTTGAATTATACAAAACTAATGCTATCCATTGTTTGTTTTCATTCCATGTGCTGTGCAGGGAAACTGAGTCATCAGTTGGAATTTGAAAGCTGTAAAGTTAAAAATTCCTCTGAAAAACTGATGTTAGATTATCATGATAACATTTAGGCCAGTTGCAGATTTTTTTAAACCAGAGCCCACCCACACCAAAGAAAGGTCCTATCTAAGGCCAGAGACAGACATTAAAGATAAACCATGACTGGAAGGATATACTGTAGTTAACTAATGAAAGTGAGTGTCAGTAGCACAAACTTGGAGATTATGCAAATTAGCTTCCTTTGTTTAGTGATTGGTGTTTGGGCATCTAAGCATGTGATTCCTCTGAAGTTGTGAATTCACAAACACAGAAAGGCTGCCTCATTATCATGCTAATTTCTCTCATGTCTGTTTCTGGCCTAAATCTTCTGATAGCCACTGCAATGTGTCCTATAGATAATCAGGAAAACAAAGTATCAAAATATGAATTTTTAAAAAGGAAGAAATCCAGAATAGTCTTTTCTAAAGATAAATGATCTGAGGGGCTTTACTAGCTCTATAACTCTATTATCAGTACTGGTGTTTGCATTGCAGGTTTAAGTCCGCCAATATCATAGTGCCTTGGACCATTATTGTAGAATGCTGATAAAGGAATAGCTTGGCGTTACATCTCTAATTACTTGCTCTCCAAGTATGCTATGAATTTCGATGGCTAATTTTGGAATATCTTTCGTTGCAGTGAGCACGGATAGTATAATCCTTCCTATTGCCTTAAGCCACTGCTAAAAATATTCTGTCCTCTCCACCCCCCTATCTATGTAAAGGAAGAAAATATACTTGGTTAAACATCTTGGCAGGACAGATTGCCTGCCCTGTGTATTAGGGCACATCAGTCTATGCAAAATGCAGGGGGAGGGAGTTACTTCAGGGACTTTTCTGGGGGTTCATTCCTCATGTAATTCTGGGGTAGAATCCCTGGTGCTCTAGAGAGCAAGGAACCAGAGTTAAGCCTATTGGTTTCAACTAGAGTTGAAGCCACTTATGCCAGATCTGTATTCACTCTGGAACTTCAGGAATGAATCCTTCTCCCCCTCTTGCTGCTTCCCAGAGTTTTGGGTTGTATTCTACCATCACCCCTCCTCCATTTCATTGCACTTTTTTGCTGCTGCAGTACTTGCTTTTTGCAGATTATTCAAGTTTATACTAATTTCCATGCATTTCTCCTTTTTCTTCATAGAATTGTAAATTTAGGTTTTCTGATCTTACCTTCTGGATAAGATTTCTGTGTTTATTCACAGTTGCAGAAAAGCACCTAGCACCTTTCATCTCTAAAGGAGCAGTATATTCGCTTTGTACACAACCCCATAGCAATTTTATCATTTGAGATCAGAGCTCAGGAAACCTATTTTTCAAGTATAACTCACAGAATACCCCCATCCAAATGGGCATGGAGAATCATGGGAGTTGTAGTATGAAAGCCTAACTTTTCTGAGCCCTTGTTTGGATATATCCTTATAGCTTTTGTCCTTTTGCCATTCCATCAATAGTGGCTTGCAGTGGTCTGAATCTGGTTAGCAACGTCTGTCCTTAAATAGCACTATTCTTGATTATATGACCCTGGGCATGTTTTCTGTTCTATTCTTAAATGGCTTAGTTTGAGTGCCAAGGTAATGACTTAGGAAAAGACATTGTAGTTGGTCAAGCTCCTAACAGGAATGTCTGTACACTTTGGAGGGTTTGAAAAGATGAGAGATGAGTCCTGAGTCTTGAAGGTTGCCAGGCTTGGCCACAGGTCATGGAATCTTACTTTTTAAAAACTTCTACTGTCATAATTTCCAGAAGTGCATCTGTGCTAGGATGTAATTGGTTGCATCAAAAGCTGCAAAGCATGGCTATCTAAACCAATAACAAGTTTTATTTGGTGTCAGTTCTTGTGAACTGGATCTGAAAAGGCAGGGTGGAGTCCACAAAAGCTTACACCAAAAACAAACAAACAAAAAAACTTTTGGTTCTTAAGGTACCATAAAACTCCCTGCTTGGTTTTGCTCTACTATAGCTTTTCATATCCATCATCAGGAGAGTTGAAAAGCAGATGAAAACAGTCTACCTAGTGACCCTTAACTGTGGCAATTGACTTGTGCATGTTGCAAAGCAAAACAAAATAATGCAAACAATTAGCATCCTCAGAACTGAAAACAAAACTACATATCATTTGAGGTTTTGAACGTAGACCATTGTTTAAATAGTGATATGCTGAAAGAGTGACTGAGAAAACCAAGGGAAGGGCTGTGTCATAAAAACAACACCATCATAAGAGTGTTTACTCAGATGTATTTATTTAATTTATTTACAATATATTTACCCTGCCTTTCTCTTTAAAAGAGAACCCATTTTGTTGGACTTGCTCAGTTGTAATGAGGTTTAGAGTGCAGCCGTCTTAGATGTGTTGGAGAAAGAGAGAAAGCCAAGAATAGAAGAGGGTGCAGTGTTCTATTGTGCCCAAGGTCAAACGGGCATATTTAATGTACATTAAATTTAATGTACAATTGTTTTGATGATCGTGTTGCAGTCCAGATGCTATGTCAGTAATTTGAACCATTATCCCAGCAGCAGGAAACCAACACCCAGTCCTACAAACCTGGCCTCACCCAACCACAGTGCTAGAGCTAACTACCTGTACCTTTGCAGAATGTTGTGGTGCAGAGCTGAAGCTGCAGACCACAGCAGGTGGGAAGGAGCAGATGGTAAGACAGGAGTGTTATGATGAACGCTGAAATAAGGATGGCAGGACCTGCAGGTTTGAGGCAAGGCTGCCTCTTACCTTTATCATGTGAGACTTGTGAGTGCAGCAGTCCACTAACCTGTTAGCAGGTATTAGTTAAGGTGACTATAGGGGAGGCTATTCAAGATCAAGGTCATATTTGTACCCATAAGGATAGTAACTTGGCATTCAATAAAAAGTGGACTCAAAGGGAGGTTCATTATCTTGTCATTATATGTTTTGGAAACATGAGCATTAGTCTTTAGCCAGTGGGGTGGCTACTGAGCTTCTCCCAGAGGAATAATACAATAATACTACTCAACACTACCAGCCCAGAATGTCTTCTTGGGTAGGTGGTGTAAAAAATGTGAATGTACAATCTGGATGAGTGTTTCATTAGCATTCCTTATTTTTCCTAGATAGAGTAGGTTAGACCACTGATTTGGAGGGCACAATCTTATGTATATTACTCAGATTTCTAAAATGACAACCTAGACTGGAATAAATATATGGCTGAGAGTAATATCTGATGCAGGAGGGGAAAAAAAACAAATTGGTTGTTTAATGAGATATAGTTTAGTCTTTATTTCAACCCGATCCAGGAAGTATAAGCTCTTAGATCTGATGCAAGAGGCTCTATACATCCTTACAGTGTCTGATTCCTTTGTGCCTGTTAAGCACCTTTTGTGTCTCTATCTTACACATTTTGTGAAAGTTACTCAGGGTTCTCTGCATGTGCACAATGTCTCTCTTCTTTGGACTTCATTTTAGACCCCATGTTTCATAGCTGAATGTTTGACATCTCATTTTATGTCCCTTATGAGTTGTTGGTTTTTTAAATCAATTAATCTGTTGCACTTAGGCCTGTATCCTCATTATCTTATGTTCATCTGACAGTGCACAGACATATACCTTACATTCTTTTGCTACTTCCTTCAGGCCTAGGTTATGCATGCAGCATAATGAGGGGGGGGGACTAGCAACAAGCAGCCTTGTTCTGTGCCCATTCATTGTTCCAGTCAACTATGCCTACATCCATGATACACTTTTCCACACAGCCCAATAATTACAGAACCTCCTGTGGCTACTGAACATGTTCAGTCCACACTGGGGTGTTGGAGTGAGGGGTGTGTGTTCCTCCTTTATGGTTTTTCTCCTAAAGATTTTTTAAAAACGTCTATAAACTTTGAGGCTCTCCTGAGTGTCCTTATATTTCCATCTATGCATAGGTGGTGCCATTTTATTCACATGTACAATGTTATTCACATCTAACCACTGGAAACAGAGAGAATGGTGAAGCAGTGGAATTTGGAGGTGGTATCATGGCTTATGCCCTTTCAAACTGTAGCTGGAAGATTGTATTGTGAATGACTGATGTGACAAACACTCTGGAAAAAGAAGGCTAGAACAGAGGCTGTGATAATGAACTATAGATATCTATATAATAGTCTTGAAAATTTTTACTTACAGGAAATTGTGTGAGTTTGTTTTCCTAATCTGGAGAAGGCATCCTCCACCTGGTTTGGTGGTGTCCATTCTACTGTATCATTATGGCCCACATGTTGACTGGGCCTAAGAAACTAGACTGTGAGGCCAGAAACATGACTACAGTTCGCAAGGCAGCAGAATTCTTATCTTCTCTGCTTCAGAGGTGAATAAATAAGATAGAAAATGTCTTCAGGGCACCCTTTGCTAGCCAAACAGCATGTAAATGCAGTGACTTCTTCTCCTCCCACCCAAATGAAGGCAAACAGATCCTGTAGACACAAATATCATTCATACTAAGTAACAACAGGGATAACTCTATACACTTGGATGGGTGGCCAGTAAGTCGCCCCCTTCTCAAGTATTTCACAGTGCTTGTCTCAGGGTAGGAAAGGCAAATTCTCAGATTCGCAGTGTTCCGTATAAATTAGTTTGATTCTAAAAGTAGGAAATATTTTGATTATAAAAGTAGGAAGTCTATCAGGGTCCATCAAAATGTCTTTTTGCCTGTTCCTGATGATAAGTTGAGGTAATAGGCACTTAGGATATGTATTTATTACTATTAATAGTAATAATAATTTGCTGGAGTAATATAAGGCATTGACATTAGTACTTTGATATCATGTTTGTACAGTATTTTGAAGAACTGGAAATGCGCACAAAGATGTTTTGATATACTCTGAAGTATTTTTCAGATGGGGTAGAAAATTAGAAACAAGGTTGCTTAGGATTTCTTTAAAATTGTAGCATATGTATTTGTAATCAGTCCCTTTAAAGATTATTTGCTTTGAGTGCAATAAATATATAATTACACAGACTATGGTGGGCATCACCAATATGTTTTGTTCTCCAAGTTCAGCCTACATTGTGGAACTGTTACATGTTATACATAGAATAATGTGATTCTCAGGCAGATAATGCATCAACTGCTGTTTTGTGATTGAATACAAGTGTCTAGGTATCATGGAAATTGTCTGTAAAGTGAGCAGCAATGAACTGTTCTGTATGGCCACAGTAGCACCCAAAAGAGAAAAAGAAGGAAAGAAAGAAAGTAAAGAATTTCTTCTTGAACAGAAGGAGGCTGATTTCATCAACTTCCATAATATCATATCAGCTGTTAGAATAATGTATATAGATGTACATATCTCTGCAGCTATCTTCTGCATTGTTTTCTATAGCCTTCATAACACTGTGGTATACCTAGAATGATGTTAAAAGCATGCAGCATGAGGGTGTATAAACATGGGCATTTTGTACATAAATCCACAGATGAAATGTGAAAGAACAGTAGCTGTTTCAAGGAAGGTCATGCTTTGTAATCAGATCATTCATGGGTCAGCTACTGAATGTACTGCTGAAATCTCCTAGTCTTTCTGGAGTGTGCAATACACTAGAGAAGGGTCCAAAAATCTCACAACAGATCCAGCTAGTTTTGCAAGGTCAGACTGAGGGGAGATTGACTCTCCCCAATCTATTCTTCAACAAAGAAGAAATGTAGTCATCACCCTTCTCCATTTTCTCAGATAAGTGAAACAAGACCTGCCTTGGGGCTTGTGCGAATTCTGATCTGGATCTGGAGTCTGCAGTTTTGGTCCCATCACTAGTATTTATGTTACTATGCAGGTGAAGCCAAAATATGAGCTAAGGTATCTGTTTGTTTGCAGTGCACCCTTCAAATTTAAACACTATGTCTTTTTCGTACCTCTTACACCAAAGGAAGCATCCTATATGCTATTCCATGCCACCTGAAGAAAATGGCCTCTCAGAAGAGGGCACCATTTCAGTGGAGCCAGAAAGGCAGCAGGCATTACACAACAGAGCCTCATTCATGCTGACTACAGCATACAGCTGCCCTCAACCATTGGCTAAGGGTGATGGGAGTTGTAGTCTCACAGCATGCATTCCCTAGCCTTACAATAGCATTTCCTGAAACTTATGGGTAGGTGATCTGTATAAAGAGGAATAGGGCAAAAAGAGAGGAACAGAGAGGCATGGTATGCATTTAGTAGAGAGGCCTGGTGATTTCTCAGAAGTCAGCCACACCATTGCTCTGAGCACCATGTCAGCATCATTCATCCCAACCCCAACCAAGATTGAGTGGGAAAGGGGACTTCCAGCATTACTGGAAGATCTAGATTGCTGGCCTGCAGATTCATGCCTAGTGTCCCCTAAGGGGCAAATCCACTTTCATAACGTGCAGACTTCTATTTCCACTCCAACTTTTAGAGCAGCCTGCTGACTCTTTGGTGGACCAATGTTTATCAGATGCATTGAAACCTACATGTTTGTGGGCTAGAGCCTAATCAGACGCATGAATCTACCAAAGTGGACAGCAGCCCACTGAAAGGATATGCCACAACACATCTGTTAGTCTTGAAAGTGACTTAAGGTTCTTTTTCGTATCCTGCAACAGATTCCAATATTTATTCTTGTAAACCATTTCATATTACTTGCTTCTTGGGGCCATAGGGTGAGGACCTCTTCCAAGCACAAACCCTTAAATAGCCTTTCAAGGCTGAGCTGACCTGACCCAGCAGCTCATGGTCATGTATAGCACAGTCCTCAAACCTTTTTTCTTCTCTTTCTTTTTGGCAAAGCACATGTCCTGGCGGCCCTTAAGAACACCCTCCCCCCCATACAGGACTTCAGAATCCCTCTGTGGAGCTCTCTGTCCTGTTTTCTTAGAATCTGATTACGTTTTATCTCTTTGAGAGGCCATTTCAAGCCCCGCAGAACACCATAATTGTGACAAGCTTTTTATCTTTTCAAACCTAAGGATAGATCTTTTTGTTGTTGTTGTTGTACATCCCTGAAATACTGCTTCCTTTCCTTTTTCTCATTCCCATGTCCCAAAGAAAATGTCAAGGAGTGGACATTTTAAAAGTGCTGGACCTTTCTTCTGTCCTCTGTTCTGAAGAGGCTTCTGCTTATCAGCTTGCAGAATTTAGATCTTGGCTCAATTTTAGCTAAATTGTGCTCATTAATCTTAGCCCCTCAATCTGGCCAATGGAAGATTTTAAGGTGATAGCTGGCAAATGAATCCCTTAGTTCCCACTGAACTTCTCGGGTACATTTTGGCTTCTATATGAGATGTCTAATGTCGTGCTATTAAGAATTTAATTCCAAAATCTATGTGTATGTGTAAATATGTAATGAAATTGTGCATATTATTTCAAGATTTGTAAGGCTGTTTTCTACTGAGTGCAAGGAATGTAATTAGCCAACTGCACCTGCTTCCCTGTTACCTGAGACATTGCAGATGACCTACAAAGTCATATTACTAATTATTGCTTGAAATGTGAAAGGGAAAGGATCCTGGATCAAATAAGCGTGTGTTTGCCTAATTTGAGAGAATCAATAAGAAAGGGAAATCCAAGAAAGATTCATAATGAAGATGCCATGGAACTGAATCTTTTGTTTCCATGGTTACCGGAAGAATGGGACCAATAACGTTGAAAGGACGCTAAAGAAAGAACTCATGAGAATGGTGTATCGTTTAACCATGTATTTGCTTGATGAAAATTTAGACACCAGCTGTATCTAAATTGCACAATGTGTATAGAACTTATCATTATTAATGATGACTTACAGGAGTACTCAGCACTGACTGGATAGTAACAGCTGAGATATTCCCTGTTAGTAAGATGAATTACCTGTACATAAGGATAGTTATTTGTGTATACGTGTATATACAAATATGCCTTGTCCATTCCCAAATGGGCATTTGCTGTCTGGTTGATCATGTGTATACATAATAAATTCTTCATAGATTACCACCAATTTTGTACATATCAGCACCTGTTAAAAATAAATAGTTATATTCCTGAGAATTCATTTTGACATATGTTGTGTGTGACAACAAAAAAGGAATAAACTTTTGATAGGTGGATGGAAGTCAGATTATTTTACATGCTAATAGACACACATCTGGATTTGCCTCCCCTCCCCCACAAACTTGCGGTTTATCTGTGCTCTCCATGGTTTGCTCTCTGTGCTGAAATATTTCTGCCACTAGTGGCTGAAGGCAGTTGAATTGATTGTGCCATTTGTTGTCATTTTATAATACTTAAGAAGTGTTCTGTGTTGGTCGCACACTATAGTTTATTCATTTATTTAAAATATGTTTAGCCCACCTTTCTCCTTGAAAAGGACCCAAGGTGGTTTACATCATTAAAAGAGAACATTTAGAACTAAATACAGGAAATATACAAACACTGAAGAAGGTTAACTGAGGTTATGTAATGATGCCAACATCTCATGTACAGAATCTGAACAATACTTTCAGTGACAGAAAAAAGAAAGCTCATTCACACTTGTTGCCTCTCCTGCTACCATGGCCATAAGGAAAATATTATATTAAATAGCAGACAATGGCTGCAGAAATACTTTTCAATAGGCATTCATTGTAGTCTGTCTCTCACCAATCTCATCCTAAGTATCTGAGAGCTTTTGAAATGCAGCCTAATCTTAAAGCACAGATGGGCCATCTCTGTAACCTGACAGATGTTGATACACTTGCAATCCCCATCATACCTCACTGTTGGCTATGCTGGCTAGGGTTTATGGGGTTGTAGCCCAACATCTGCAAGGTTATAGCTTGCCTATGTTTGCTTTGCTTAATGCACCGTACTAACTTAGGGTGTGATCAGAGATAGCTGCAAAGGGATGCACCTGATAATATCAGAAAGGGTTGCTTTAACAGGAGTAATCTCCCTTAAAGTTCCTTCCCTCTGCCAAGGAATCATTCCAGCCTAGCCCCCAAAGTATAAGCCTTTTAACTAGACTAAAAAGGTCCGGCTTGGACACAGATCAGAGTCAGGCTGGGGTGCATTTCCCTATATGTTGTGTGATTACCAGGACATAGATCACACCAGACTTCTCCACAAATAGTCCAAATTATGATCTATTTTCCCATGTGATCACATCCTTTCTTATTTTCAAGGGCATTGTTACTATTCCGGTTTTCTTAGAGCAGCTCTGTGGTATAACCCTGCCCTGTAACTTCAATATAACATGCCAGAAAAAAAAAGGCACAGAAAGGAGAGATTTTACTATTCCGGTTTTCTTAGAGCAGCTCTATGGTATAACCCTGCCCTGTAACTTCAAGATAACATGCCCCCCCCCAAAAAAAAGGCACAGAGAGGAGAGATTGTGATGTTCTAGAGCTTTTTCAGCAGAGTAAACTAATGGAGTTGCTGCTACTTCAAAATCCCACGGTTACTACTTCTGTGCTTCACACATGCTCTCTGCTTTTCTCTGCCTTCTAATCTTTTGACAGGTGGTCTGCAGGATACCATCTTTTCCCAATGGCAGGTCCTCCAGAACCTGTGTTTGGTAAAATTCCTGTTACTTCAAACCAACATAGGCACTGGCTGAACTTTCATGGATTTGTGGCAGTTGCCACTAGTTGTAGATATCTAGTGCTGTGGGTTGGGAAGGGCTAGTCCAGAATGATTTACTTTTCCATTTCATTTACTCTTTTTCCTCCTCAAATTTGACAAGGTTACAGTCACCCCAACTTCCCCAAGTGGTGAAAAGTTCCAGGGGTATGTAGTGTTTACTTAGGTTTGGTTTCCTTTCGAAGGAGGTCACATAATGTTTGGCCTGCTTTATAGAATTTGTCTTTGTTTCAAATATAGAAACCAAATATACATGGCATTCTCTAAGAGGCATCCTTACATCCCTAGATACCATGAGCTTACCAGCTCTCCTACTTCAGCTCAGCCTTCCTTCTGTGGGTCAAAACAGATGTTACAGATGGCCTGTCACCAGATGGTGAAATTCTTTTAGGGGTAGTTTTGCACAAATGTCAGAGCAGGAATTTCTCTTAGCTCCCAGAATTTTCAGATTCGCCTGCTTTGTTTGGTAGCAGGTCTTCAGGAATATTAAGGTGCTTTCATCTCCATAGCCCTATGTATTTCCAAGCTTGTCTATTCTTCCTAGCATTTATGTTATTTTCTACAGACAACTAACTTGCCCCCATCGTCTGGCTAGGGAGTAGGAGCCAAATGTGTGGGATGAGTGGTCTTGTCCTACCCCTCTAGGGCCATTTGCCCATAATTTTTGTAAAAAGTATGGTTCCAGATATTATGGCACTATTAAGAGAATCCTGAGGTTAGAAAAGTCATATTTTTGGACTATAACTCCCAGAACCTCTTAGATGGGGGATTCTGGGAGTTATACTCAAAAAAGGTAATGTTTCCAACCTCTTTAAGTCCCCAGAAGTAATTCTAGCTTCACTAAATGTCTCTGACCCAAACCTACAATCTTAATAATAATACTGTAGCTCTATTTCTTCTCCTTCCAAACCATCTTCTTGTTGTTAAGTGCTATCAAGTTACATCTGACTTACAGTGACCAGGGTTTTCAATATATGCGTGATATTAAGGAGTATTTTTTACCAGTTCCACCCTCACTACCCNCCCCCCCCCCCCCGTTTGCATTTTCATGGCTACCCAGAGATTTAGATCTAGGTCTCATATGTCTTTATCTGTCATTCTATCCACTACACCACACTAGCACAACAATATTTTTCCAGTGCCTCATTGGCTCTCCTTCTGAACCGAACTATACACATCTGTAACAGTATTCCATCATGTTATACTCTGGCATGTCTCTGCTGGTCCAAGCCTCCTCCTTTTATTTGGTCACCTACTTATCTCCCTTTGTTTGCTGCATTTGTGTGTCCAACAGATGCAAACCTTTCTGGATCATGGTTCACAGAATCAAGGTTACTGTATTGATACCTTGAAGATGAAGAAGTCTTATTTGGTGTCAGCTTTGGGGAGCTGCAACCCAAATGCAGCCTGCAGGCCACAAAATCTACTATGTCTTTATGTTTCCACAAGACTCTTTGTTGTTATTTTTGCTGCAGTAGGAAAACACAATTACACTGCCCTGAAAAAAGATTGAAAGCATTAAAAAAAACCCTCAAGTATAGTGAATGCAATACAAAATCTAAAATTAATTAAAACAGCCATAGGGGGAGGGGGAGCCCAACCCAAAATAAAATTGACAGGCAGAGGCAAAAATAAAGCAAAGATAAAAGAAAATAAAACAAAACCTCCTTAAAATGGAAGAGTCCAGGAGTGTTCTTCTTCTACTTGAAAGACCACAAATGGTGGTGGTGATTGTGATGACGGTGATACACCAAGTGAGCCTTGATCTATCCAAAAGGTGCTATCCTTGAAAAGGGGCTCTCCTCTTAGATCCAACTTTCTCCCCAGAGGTCCAACTGGTGAGTGCACATGGAGCTGCTTTGGAAGACTGTCTGGAACCTTCATCTAGTTTGAAAGGCAAGGGAAATCTTTCCCTGCAAAGATTAGCAGGTGAGAACCTATACCACACCATTTCTTCAATGTCCCATAGATTTCCACTGGTCTAAAGTCTGCCCTCTCTTGGCTTCAGGAGAACTTGAGGAATGCTGATCTCAGTCTCAGCCTGCCAATGTCCTGATAGTGTAATCAGAGGCTAGAGTTTTAAAAAATTACTTTGGCTTCTGAAATTCCCTGCAAGTATGGCTGCTAGCTGTGCTGGCTGGGGAATTCTCGGGATTTTAGTCCAAAAAGTAACTTTGCCAAGGTCTGTGTCAGCCAAGGGGCAACCGGGGAGAGGGCCTTCTGTGTTTTGTCAACTGCGAATGGAGTTCTCTCCCTGGGGAAGGGTGCCTGGTTTGCTTTTTATTATTACATTAGCCGAAAACCATTTTTCATTTTTTTGTCCACATTTCCACATTGAACCCCTTATTTTCACACTTAACGTTAAAGTTATGATTTCCAAGGTATAATAATTTTTATTGCAGTTGGTTTGATTTTTTTTTAAAAAAAAAAAAACCCTTTGATCTGGCTCATTTCCTTTCAGGATACAATCATGTACTCACTTATCTGGCAATAAGCCCCATTAAACTCTGTGGGGCTTTCTTCTGAGTAGACATTATAGCATACACTGCAAATGCTTTGTATCTTTCAGTGGTAATTGCACTGTTGCATTTCTTTTCAGCAGGGAAAACAAATGCAATGGGGGAATCCTTTCAAAAGAACCTTCCTGAAAGACTGATAACTGGTTATTGAATAAATGATGCATTGCTCTTCTTGCTGTACAAACAAATCAATATCAGCACGATGATGAACTATAATATATTTCTGAACAAAAGTGACTCCTGTTGTTCTCAGTCTATTGTAAATCTATGGTGACATATTACTGCTTTCTTCAGAAATTACTTTCCTCTTGTGGTAGACCTAGACTTGCCTTCTTGGCAACATGCACAATAGAAGGAACACAGTCTAGAAACATCAGTTTTTGGAACTACAAGTCCCAGAAATCCCCACACAGGGAGTTCTGGATGATGTAGTCCCTAAAGGTGACATCTCCTAACTCTCGGCAGGACAAACATTCAGCATAAATGAGCTGGATTTTCAGTGTTTTAATATTATGTTTTCTTCTTACATTTTCCCCACCTTTCTTCCAATAAGCACATCTTTTCCCAATAGAGCAACTCAATGGATTCAGCTGAAAAGAGTACCTGATACTGGCTCATACTGGTAATGGTGACAATTATGACAATGTTTTTCTTCTTACTGGAGAAGAATCAGAACATATTAAATGGTTGCTTAAAATTCTTTTTCAGCTCTCTCTCTCTCTCTCTCTCTGTGTGGTGTGTGTGGGGTGTGTGTGTGTGTGTGTGTGTGTGTGTGTGTGTGTGTGTGTGTGTGTGTGTGTGTGTGTGTGTGTGTGTGTGTGTGTTTTACAGGTTTCCCCCTAAGAGCAGAATATCAAATAAATAAATGGGGGTGTATGTCACTGTGAACACAACAGAATGCAGCA